GATCTATGCAGGGTATGAGTTTTTGTGACATTGCTTTCACATTCCTCTGCAGTGACGTGAGGTGCACCTAGGCATGGCTTACTTCTAGACAACAGATCAGGAGAATTAGAGGAAAGTTAATGGAGCTGTCACTCAGGAAAACACAGGGAGAAAAACTATGAACTTCTGGAGTAACTAATCATGAAATATAGTAAATTGCTTAAAATGGGCATGGATCTACAATTACACCCCTCTTCTCTTACACAACGCCTACCCAGCTTTAGATAAGCCCAGGTAATGGGGTCAGGAGGGAACCTCTTGAACTGTGGCCCTGGGTTTGCTGCTCTCAGTTTTCGTGGCTGTCAGGTTTTGCTGTTACTCCTACCTCTTGAAAGAAACGGGGATGATGCATCTAAACTATTGTGAAACCAAAATGTTAGAGTGTAAAAGACACTGGTATCTTTTGTTCTTGGAAAGTAAGCTAGCAGGGGGAGAAGGCAAGTGGTTTGCTTCATGGTAAACCAGGGCCATGCTTAGAGGCATGGTGAGCTCAGCTCAGTGTATGGATTTTCATTTCCCACAAACACTTCAAAGAATTAATTGATTTTGGGGGTTAAAAATAAAAAGACCATGCATTTAAAAGACTGCAGGAAGAAGTTTGCCAGCACTGAGATATTTTTAACCATTTGTAATTAAAAAAAAATGAAGTAGTTTAAAAACAAAATTGCAAAGAAATCGACTGCGTCTTGTTCTGGCATTGAGGCTTCACCAGTAGAGCACTGCAATGCTGAAGTCTCAGCTCGGCACTGGATGCCATCTCTCCACTGATGTTGGCCTTAGTTCCACCGTTCAGATGTTGCACAGAACAGCTCCAGACAGCAGCGTTCCTCTGAGCTCCTGAGCTGGAGGCCCCTTTGCTCCACCAGCTATGTGCTGTATCACTGTGTGGTCAGTGGTGATTTGGGAGCGTCTGCTGGCCCTCCACAGTGAGGTGAACCTCACTGAGCCCTGCATTTCCTGGTTATTTGGCAAAGATGGAAATGACAGGAGGACCTGTTCTCATTCCAGGTGTTGTGCTGGGAGGCTGTGGCGACAGATCGATTCGTTTTCGTCCAACGCTGATCTTCAAGGATCACCATGCGCACCTCTTTCTGAACATTTTCAGTGACATCTTAGCAAATTTCAAGTAAAAAGCAGTTCCTTTGCACTGAAATTAGATTGCATTAATTCATGTCTTCTCTACTTACAAGATAAGTGTAAAGTCATAAACTGAGGTTTGTGTTCTGTCTGTAATCCTGCCCACGGCAAGCTGCTCCACGCATGCTCGACCCAGGCAGAGCATTGGTACTGGTCACCAGCAGGTACACACAGCCGTCCCACACTGTGCGTCTGTAGAAGCTGTGGCCCTCCACCTCCTGGCTTGGGTCCTGTTAATTGCAGAGTCCTCTCTCCACTCATGGCCCTGACTCTTTGATTGTCTATGACCTGGTACAGGCCCTTTTCACAGGCAATCTCAGCAGACTTACTCCTGTGTCCAGAGGCAGCACAAGTATGGCCTAACACTTGTAGCCACACACCTGCCATATTGAAAGTGCTGTTCTCTAATGGCAGCTGAAATAAAAAAATCAAGTGTTGCAAGGAAAGCTCAGCTTTCCACTGCTGCCAAGTACAGTATTTTACAGAATAATTTCCAGCTTTATTCCCTAGAATACAGACGTCCACCACACCAACTGGATCAGGATGCATCAGCTACTCTATGCCCAGCCTACCCATGCTGCTTCCGTGGCACGCACGCACGCAGCCATGGGCGCAGTGCAGTAAGCGGGACTGAAGTAGCTGTACTTCTTTCCTCGGTCTGAATTTTAAAAACTTCTGACTTCTCTTACAATTAGACTTGTACAGAGAAAACTAGACCCTCAAGTATGTAATTTGACAAAGCTTAGAGAATCATGTGAAGCACATTGCTTGCAGAGGTGGAAATAACCTAGAATGATGTGAGATTATTTCACCATTTGCTCATAACATGCAATAGCCATTGACTGACCTATTACGAGTTCTACATCAATACTTGAGGTATTTTGTAAAGCTACAGCAGAATTGTTTGATCTTAGCCATTACCTGACATCAGAGCCACTGCAGTGAAGGCCTAATCCTAACTGCACCTTTATAATGCAAAGTAATTCTATTTTTGTTCTAATTTATTCTGTCATTGATACTTCAGAGATCTTCTAGAAAGCCACAGGATCAAAGTGTCAACAGTTCAGTAATCTGTTTTTCTCCAGAGAATTGTTTTGGATATCTCTCTACTATGTGCTCTTTGCCATTTGCTTAAGGCTGACTTGAAGGTCTGGTGCCTTTTTTTTTCCCCGTTTTCTTGGCTCACAAACATCTGGATTTTGTTTACTAAGTGTAACTTTGTTATGCACCAAAAAAACAGGGACCACAGTGGACTTTACAGTTTTCCTTTTAGGATCTGACCACAACTTTTAAGGACATAATAAGAGACAGAGCACTTAAAAAGATTTGTTTAATACAGCTACCAAAATGTGAGAGGTTTCTTACCTGCTTTGACAAATGCTAATCATGGTTTTCCCATTTGATTTTTTGAGTGTTGGTATTGGGAAACTCAAGTACACTCACTTTCTGCTAGCTTAAAAATCATAGGATTTCTGTAAACCTCTCTGCAGAAACCCAAATTCTGGTGCCAGCTGGTCAGAACCTGAGCAGGTTTTTGAGCAGAGGCTGTAGAAATCCAGGGGAAGGACCGGCAGGTTGGCGTTCGACAAAACCTCACTGTCATCGCTGTCCTTGTAAGTGTGTTCTCAGCAAGAGGAAAGTCAAACCGAGAACTGGACTTTACAGCATTTTGGGAATTAGTTTGTTCAACATATCAGTGCAGTAGTTTTAGTAAGTGTCTCTAGCAAGTCTTGTACTTTTAAAGAAGCAAAGGTCCAGTAATTTGAAGTCTTACCACATCTTCACTTTTATTATGAATAGGTGTTTTTATAATTTTTACTGACACTCAGTAACTGTATAATTGTGTACAACATGTTGATGAAATCATGTTAGAGAACACATAGGAAGCACTGCAGCTGAAGCATATAAAGTTAATATTGTTTACAGCATACTGTGGACAGTGCCAAATAAATGTTGAAACAAATACTAAACTACACTTCATGGTGTAACCAGTAACTGTACACAGACTCATAAAAAATGACATCTCATGTGTAATCAGTATTCTTAAATAAAATATTTATAATTGAACTTCTCCAGGGGTTTGTTGGGTTTTTGTTTGGGTTTTTAATTGTTTTTTTTTTACACCTAGTAGATGCCTAAATCGAATTATTAGTGCATATTAAATACATTCTTATGAAGTTAAGCCTCAAAAAACCACGCTGTATGCGTACAGTCCACTGTCTTTTGCTGCCGTGGTGTTTAAGCTAAGGAACATTTCTTTCTCTTTTCCTTTTGCTGTACCACACAGTATCAGCCAGAATTGAAAATAACGGAGCTCGTTAAGAAAAGCTCAACATGAATAAACAGCAAATGAGGGTCAGCCCATGCACTCAAATGGCAGTTTTACTTACCTGTATCTGCCCATCCACCAAGACACAGAGGTTTGGATACATGTGAGGAAGAAACAGGGCAGAGAACACTCCAAACTTCTGTATGGGTGAGGGTCAGTTTATTTGTCATTCCTTCCAATGAAGAGGCAGCTAGGAGAGCAGTGTAAGGCATTTACTTGCTTCTGACAACTCAAAAGACATTTTACATGTTACAGGGGGTCAGGTTTGATTCTTCCTCAGGTTTAAATCCTGC